CTCTCTCTCTCTCTCTCTCTCTCTCTCTCTCTCTCTCTCTCTCTCTCTCTCTCTCTCTCTCTCTCTGTGTGTGTGTCTCTGTGTGTGTGTGTGTTAACCGCGAGCGCAGTGTGCGAACGGCTTCTCCCAGAAACCTCCTCCGCGCACAAGGATGTTCCTTCATGCTGTGTAGAGTAAAACCTGCTTATTAGGCTAAGCAGATACCTAGACCCCCCCACTCCCCCCCTCCTCCCTTTTACTGGCGAAGCAGGTACTTAGACCCCTTCCTTCCCCTTTTACCATGTCTCTTTCGAGTTAAGCAGGCAGGTACTAGTACTAGGGGTCCTCTGACTTCCAGTGAAAAAGTCCTTCGACTCGATCCCGCCAGTTCAGGCCTGATAAACGACCCATCCCCGCGCACTTCCTGGTACACACCACACAAGGCTCTACAAACAACTCGACACGCACCACACAATCCTTCCGGCCGGATTCGAGCCTGTAACGTACATAACATAGAACATAGTATTTAGTATAGTCCGACAAGGACGAATACATTTAAATTTACTATACCCCCGCCAGCTCGAATCCAGCACTACCCACGCAGTTTTCTGGCCCCTTTCCAGCTCTAACAAAGTGGGTAGAGCGCACCCGCAACAAACAAGAATATGTTAAAATAAGAATCTCTACCGCAATCAATCAATCGGTGGACGTCCTCGTTCTCCTTCTTGATGACTATGAATGCTACGTGTAAGTCGCATCCACAGTATAGCCAGTAAGCATCGGGATCGCTACGATAGCGATCGCCAACCGCACTCGCCGGGATCACACGCCGCGCGCCCCCCCCCCCCCCCACCACTGCATCGGGATCGCAACGATGGCGACACCCGTGTACTGATTGACACGACATACCACCGCTCCGCATTGCAAGGAAAGCAATCTACCTTTACCTTTACTTGTCCTCCTCCCCCTGTCCATCCTCCTTGCGAGCAAAAGCAATACAGTAATGCTTAATAATGGCATTTATTATATCCCCTCTCATCTCATCTCATCTCATCGGTCAGTAGTTCCCCACGTCGTCACCCGTTCGATTCCCGCAAGAGACAGAGACCCACGATCCCACAACAAATTCCCACTTTCGCCCCCCCAAAACCAGCCCCACCACAATAACCCCGATGTGCAGGAATGCCCACCCCACCCTTTGCAACAACCCCGATCAACCCCGATGAACTCCGATGAGCAGGAATAACCACCCCACCCTTAGCAAAAAACCCGATCAAACCCGACCGATGAGAAGGAATGCCCACCCCACCCTTTGCAGGGCCGTTGTGCTAAAAGGGGCTTTCAGATATAGACTGAAAGGTGTTCAGGTGTTCAGATCGACTAAACGGCTTGCAGAACGATGACGATGGTGTAATCTCGTCGGAATGAGAACGAAGCGAGAAGAAGGAAACAAAAAAGGGGAGAAGGAAACAGCAACAAAGCAACAACTACCTACCTAGTTTGTGCCGTCATCGTTCACCCACGCCTGTCTGAGGAGTGAGTACCTAATAGGCACTGGATGGGAAGAGGAGGAGGAGGATGCGGGGGCGGCGGGGGTAGAGGTAGCGGCGGCGGCGGAGCGGCCGGCGATCTTGCCCGGGGAAGACGGAGGACTAAGCGGAGGACTGGAAATGGAAGCTGCCGCTGAGAGGGACGCAGTGACATTCCTGGGAGGCGAGAAGGAGGAGGAGGAGGAGGAGGAGGAGGAGGAGGAGGAGAAGGCGAGTCGACATGGAGTCCGGACTGTCATGCCGTTAACCCAGAAGCCAAGGGGGTCTTCTGCCTGGTTGATCTCGTCGTCGCTGGTGTAGCCTTTCACCCCAGCCCCGTCGCGCGCGCGACCGATCAGTTCCCTCACAAACAAGGAAGGCGGCGGCACGTAGGAGCACGTCGCGGCGGGTGCCATAGGCAAGACGGATGGGTCGGGATCGGGTTCGCCTTTCCGACGGCGCTCCATCATCGCTTCGCCGTTGATGGCCGCGAGCAAGGCGGGAGACACCTCCTCCGGCGCGCTGTCGTCCGGAGAAAACAACTGAAGAACCCGATGAATCAAGTGAAGGTTCAGAGAGGCGCACACCTCCCGTCGCACGGAATGGTCCATCAACGTTTCCTTGGGCAACATCAGCAGATCTGCCGTCGCTCTAAGTAGCGACAAGATCTTAGCATTAGCCTTGCCGGCCCCCCCGCCGCCCCCGCCCCCGTCGCCATCCCACCCGATCCCGACTGTTCTGCTCAGGTCCGACAGTTTATAATTACCCGACGAAGAAGTCGAAGGCAGTGGTGGTCCCAAAAACTGCGGCAACCACTCCATCAATCCCGCGATAGCGATCTTTAGCTGCACCCCGCCGCCAAAGCTTAACACACCCATAGGCAGGGGAAGTACACTGGGCTCAGTCAGAGGGTCAGCAATCGGATCCGTCGACTGAGAAAACGGGCTCTCTCGAATGAGCGCGTTGAAAAGTGCAACATCGAGTCTTCGACAGCAGTCCACTAGCACTGATCGACAGAGAGGGGTCAGGCAGCCACACTCGTGGCCCTCGCTTCGACTTGGGCACAGCCTCTTCTTCACCTCCGACAAGGCGGTTTTCCAAATCTCCACGCATTCCGATCCTCCCTTCGGTCTTTTTTCCCCAGCGTTCCCGTTCTCCACAGGCACAGCCGCCGCAGCCTTCGTCTGCGCCAGAGGCCTCAGGCTCGTAGTCAAACTCCTTGACAGTCTGCTAAAGTTTCCTCCTGCACCACCTCCCACCCTCCATCCTGCTCCCCATCCCCCTCCCCCTCCTCCTCCTCCTCCTCCCCCTCCTTCTACTCCTATACTTGCTTCGCGCTCTCCTTCCGCTCTATCCCCTTTACTATGCTCCCCTTCCTGCATGGGCGGAAGCATCACTTTCCACCAAACGAGCTGCAATACCTTCTCATGGATCCAGTCCTCGACACGTTCCAAAGCCGACACGAACGTTGCCACTTTCTCCCAGTTTTCGGGGCCCGCTTCATCAGCAGCAGCTCCCCACCCGCTCCCCCCAAACCCCCCCCCTCCTCCCCCTACCCTCTCCTCCTCCTCCGTTCTCTTCATCAGACCAGCTCCTACAACTCCCTTGACCATACCGCCTCCCCCCCCCGCCGCCCCATCATCCGATGACGACCCATTAGCATCAGCAGCATGCGTCTGGCCACTCCCCTCGCCCGAGAACGCGTCCAGGAGCATCTCCCGCAGCATCACACAGTTAGACCACCAGAAGACGAGCCGTGCGATATCCTCACCGCTTGCTCGAGCTGCCGTGACTAGACCAGATACCGCCGCCTTTGCCGCGCTGCTGCTCTTAGCCATCCCTCGTTTATGGCAGCTACGCATGTACAGCCGTGCCAGGCGCCTTGCTGGCGTATGGATCTTCTGACACGTGCCACCATGTGCCACCGTCACCGAGTACACAGCCACCTCCACAGCCGCCAGATCCCGGAGTTCCGTTTCCATCACATCGTACACGGCATGGATTTCTGCCAGTCTCTTCTCCGCCGCTGCGGCCTTCGTCTGCGCTTCTAGCGTCCGCCCCGCGCTCTCCCCAAGCGCTTTCCGCAGCTTGGCGCATTCCTCCGCTGCCTCTGCTATCGCTTGCCTAGCTCTCTCGCCATCTTCGAGCTCCCGCTGCTCTCTACTATGATCCCAGACCCGTCCTCCTCTCCCTCTCTCTCTCTGCTCCGAGGCCAACCTCCTCCTCATGGCCCCACCACTTCCATTACTCGTTACCTCCGGGTCCCACACCTCCTCATCATCACCATCATCTTCCTCCTCCTCTTCGTCCTCTCTTGGAGAGCGTGGCACTCGTTCCAGTCTTCCTCCCTTGTAATTAACCTGACCACGATCCGGTGATCGGACGGTCCTCACTGGTCCGACGCCAGCCGTCGCATTCTTTGCACTGCCCAGTGCGTACTTCGTTGCTGCTGCTGCTGCTGCTGCTGCTCCTGCCGTCGGCACGGGTTCGCTCCCCATCGTCTCCATCTCCTTCTCATTTCCATCTTCTGCTATAATTACTCTCTGGCCCGCTTTCTCTTCACCTGTTTCCACGTGCTCTTGTGTTGAGACCCCATCAGAGACTGCTGATCCCGATGGCGAGTGTCTAACGTCCGGTTTACTGCATACCCCACCCTTGCCATATGGGAACCCCTCTTCCTCTCCCTCGTCTTCGTCCATAGAGAGGCCCTCCTGTCTCTTCGCCGTCCCGTCTCCCGGGACAACCGCCCCCCCATTTCCATAAATGTTCGATTTGGGGGACAGGGGAGATCTGGGGGATAGCGGCGGCGATGTTGGTAATTTCACGAGCTCCGCGGATTTCGGGGACATCCGCAATGATGGGGATTTCGGGGACATCGGCGATGATGGGAATTTCGGGGGGGACATCAGCGATGATGGGGATTTCGGGGACATCGGCGATGATGGGAATTTCGGGGGGGACATCGGCGATGATGGGGATTTCGGGAGGGACATCGGCGATGATGGGGATTTCGGGAGGGACATCGGCGATGATGGGGATTTCGGGGGGGACATCGGCGATGATGGGGATTTCGGGAGGGACATCGGCAATTTCGGGGATCTCGGGGATCTTGGGGATGTCAGCAATGTCGGGAATTTTGGGGATTTCGGAGATTTCGGGGAAGTTGGACTACTCATTGGTCCCTCTGGCGACTCGGTGGTACCCTTCTCTTCTCCTCTCTCCTTCCTTCCCCTCGCCGCCTCCTCCTCCTCTTCTTCCTCCTCCTCCTCCTCCTCCTCCCTCCCACTCCCGTCTTCTCCCCTCCTGGAAGCGGAATCTCCCGCCTTTTCCTCCTCCTCCCCGCCCTCTCTTCCCGCCGCCGTTTCCGTTACCCCACTGCCTCCTCGGTACTCCGGTTGATCGGCATCAAGTATCGCCGCCGCCCAACCGCTGGCAAACGGTGAAGTCCTGACAGTGGGCGAGCTGGCGGTGGCCCCGTCCTTCCTCTGGTGGTGGGCTGTCAAGTCCACTTGCTCGACGGATCCACGAAGAGGAGACCGAGGCGCAGGCGATTTCGCCCCGCCGCCGTCCCCTCCAGTCTTTGCCCCTCTCCTCGTCAGCGCCAAGGCGTGGATGGGACTGCGGAAGCCGAAGAAGTGGCGGTTGCCAGAAGCGCTTGCAGGGGGCCGGGGTGCAGCGCCACCTCCCTCTCCCTCTTCTTCCCCAATGCAATCCTTCAAACTCTGCCCTTCCCCCCTCAGCCCACCTCCTCCTCCTCCTCCTCCCCCCCCCCTCCTCCCACCGTCACTCAAAGGGCTTCTACTCTTGGGCGTCTCAGCTTTCGGCGATGAATAGGAAGGTGTCACCGTGTCAAAGGTCTTGCTCCGCTGGTGACGTCCCACCCCACCTCTGATTGATCCTCCGCGTTCGGTCGCGTCTTCTTCTCCGTCTCCGCCCCCGTCGGACGCCTTCATCAAGTCGTTGAGAGAAGCGATGGATTCGCTGCGCCGGCTCCGCGGACCTGCGGAATCGGGTGTCATCTTACCTGAGCCCCCGCTTCCTCCAGCGCCGCCTCCTGCGGAGGACATAGGGGACAAAAGATCTTCATCTGTCATCGATAACGACGCCAAGTCGTCGTCTTCATCGCTGATCATAGCGTCGTCTTCCGTCTGGTCGCCGGCGCCGCCCCAAGGTCCGCCGTCCCTGCGCGAGGCGCTCCGGCGCAGGAAGCCGAGCAACGACTTGGAGGAAGGGTCCCGATCGAGAGACGCCGAACGCAGCCGCTCTTTCGCCGTCCTCTTGTCCAAACACCTCACCTTGAGAGCGAGCACCGGGGTCCCGACCGCGGCGATCACGCCCTTGGTGGTCGCCAGCGGAATGTCGCGGCAAGTCTCAACGTCGACAACGACGAGAGGGCCACCGCCGCCGCTGCTGGCCGCCCCGCCAGTCGCCACCCCTGGTGGCGCAAATTCCGCAAGATTGACAACGGCGCGAGCTAAAGGCTGACCCTTGGGAGCCTTCTCGTGTTGCTGACACTCGTACAAGGACAAAACCAGACATTTCTTCAGATACGGCTCAGCGCCCTTCGTTCCACCGGATTCCTCACGCGTCGTAGAGCCAGCTGCAGTCGAGCGATAAAGGGTGACAGGAAGACGGAAAATGTCATCGAATGCGATCACAGCGCGCATGCGTTTCGAACCGTCGATTGCAGCGTCGACCCCGCCGCCGTCTCGAGATCCACCTGCGCCACCTGCTCCCGCTGCTGCTGCTGCTTCCGCCCGGCGAACACGTCTCGCGGAGGCATCGGATCCCGATGACGCCGACGTGGCTCGAAGGCGATACTCGTCATCTCGGACGAGAAAAACTTCTCGACTCGTGCCGGATCGCCTAGGCCCACGCTGCCATGTCATTATCAGGGAGAAGGGAGCCTCCTCGGCTTTCGGCCATGGCCATGGTCGAACCTCGCCAAGATGGATCTCGTATTCAAGCCGTAACGTCGAAGAGTACTTTTTCGATCTTGAACCAAGGCCTAGCACCATCCTCGATCCTTCTCTCTCTCTCTCTCTCTCTCTCTCTCTCTCTCTCTCTCTCTCTCTCTCTCTCTCTCTCTCTCTCTCTCTC